ACTCTCGAATGAAGTGAAAACGTGTGTCAATATGCTTGCTTCTCCCATGGAAAACTGGATTCTTCATCAAGGCAATTGCGGACTTGTTGTCGACGAAGAGTGTAACCGGCTTGGGCTCACTCCCAATCACCTCGCTGATTAAACTCCTCAGCCACAAGCCTTGGCACGCTGCTGCAGTTGCCGCCATAAATTCTGCCTCGCAGGATGATAATGCCACCGTCTTCTGTTTCTGTGATGTCCAAGTGACCAAGCTATCACCTAGATAAAATGCCATGCCGCTTGTGCTGCGTTTGTCATCAACATCTCCCGCAAGATCACTGTCAGTGAATCCCACCAACTCTTCATTGCCTCGACCTCGTTTGTACACCAATCCGTAGGACATAGTACCCTTCACGTACCTCAAAATATGCTTGACAACCTGTCTATGCAAAACTGTAGGGTGCTCCATGTACCTACTCACAATCCCCACGGCATATGTGATATCGGGCCGGGTGTGAGTTAGATACCTTAAGCATCCGATAATGCGTCTATACTCCGTCACGTCCACCGATGTTCCTTCAGAATCCTTTCCAAGCTTTAGCTTTGCTTCCATGGGATATTGTGTCGGGTTGCATTCCCTCATGCCGAACTGACCAAAAACTTTCTTCGCATAGGCCGCCTGCCTTAGTGCAATACAATCATCTCGCTGATCCACCTCGATACCAAGATAATAGGAAAGCAATCCAAGGCCACTCATCTCGAACTCCTTCATCATTTGTTGCTTGAAAAACTTTATCTCATCCGCTCTCGAGCCCGTAACGATCAAGTCATCCACGTACACGCCAGAAAAACTTTATCTCATCCGCTCTCGAGCCCGTAACGATCAAGTCATCCACGTACACGCCAACAATGAGTGTATCCCCTCTGTTACTCCTGGTGTATACCGCCTGCTCCTGAGTACATCTTGCAGATCCGATGCCCTTCATGCACTTATCGAGGCACGTGTTCCATGCCCGAGGTGCTTGGCGTAGACCGTAGAGTGCCTTTGAAAGTTTGTAGACCTTGTGCTCTTGATTCTTCACAACGAACCCTTCAGGTTGAACCACATACACTTCTTCCTGGAGATCACCATTTAGGAATGCCGACTTCACATCCAAATGGTGCACCTCCCACCCGTTCTGTGCTGATATAGCGAGGATTATTCTGATGGTATCAAGCCTCGCCACAGGTGCAAACACCTCTTCGAAGTCCACGCCTTGCTGCTGGACGTACCCTTTTGCTACAAGTCTTGCTTTGTGCTTGAGAATATTGCCTTCATTGTCCTTCTTCAGCTTGTACACCCATTTGAGACCAATGGGTTTGGAACCCCGCGGTAACTCCGTGAGTACCCAAGTCTTATTCTTCTCGATGGCCTCCAATTCCTTCTCCATGGCTGTCCGTCATTCTTGATCTGTTGCAGCCTCAATGTAGCTTACAGGTTCTTCAGAAATCAGGAGTAATTCTTCTGCAGGGAGATCAATCACCTCCGTCTCTGCATAGATGTCCGCTAGAGATCGCTAGCGTACAGGAGTCATCACTGCAGCTTCAGGGGGTCCGAACGTGTCCAAGACAGTGGGGTTTGCTGCAGCAGGAGGTTGCGGACTGGTTCGGCCTGCTGCACTAGCGGGTGTATGCGGACTGGTTCGGCCTGCTGCTGGCTGCCTTGTACGCTCTACCGGCTGTCCAGATTGTGCTCCGGTCATCTCCAATGCAGCAGGATCTGCTGCAGCTGCTGTTCTTGGACCAGGAACCATCTGTGGGCTGTTCTGGCCAGCTGCTGGCAGTCTGAACCAAACAAATGTGCCAGCTGCTGTGCCGGCTGTTGCTGATTCCTCTTCCGCTGCGAATTCCACCCAGCTGGATGGTTCTACATCTCCGTCTGCGCTCCATTTCCATTCTTTTCCTTCCTCGAACACGACATCCCTGCTGACACGTATTTTGCCATGTTGAGAGTCATAAAGGCGATGCGCTTTGCTTCCTTCCTCTACCCCAATATACACCATTGGCGTGCTCCGGTCGTCGAGTTTCTTGTGTGAAGGACCTGCAATTTTTACATGCGCCACACATCCGAAAACTCTCAAGTGTTCTAGGTGGGGTTTCTTACCAAACCAAGCTTCGTAAGGTGTGTGGTCGTGCAATGCCTTGGTTGGTAGTCGGTTGAGTATGTACACCGTGTGCCTAACCGCTTCACCCCACATTGTTCCAGGCATATGCATGCTTTTAAGTAAACTTCTCGCCATGTCCATCACCGTGCGATTACGCCTCTCCACTACACCGTTTTGCTGCGGGGTGTATGGTGCAGTGAGATGACGCTTGATGCCGTAGTCTTCACATAGCTTGGTGAACTCCTTTGACAAAAACTCACCACCACGATCCGTCCTCAATGTCTTCACCTTATGGTCACATGCGTTCTCAACCTCTGTTTTGAACTTCTTGAAGGTTTCACAAGCTTGACTCTTGGCCTTCAACATGTATACCCACATCCATCGGCTGAAATCATCAACTATAATAAGGAAGTATTTGTTACCAGCTAGTGTAGATGGGGTGATAGGGCCACAGAGATCAGCGTGTAACAACTCCAGTGGCTTCTGAGCTCTAAAATTTGCTTGCGAAGGGAACGTCAGTCTTGCTTGCTTGGCGACAAGGCATCCTTCGCATAGTTGATTCGGGTGCAAGATCTTCGGCAACCCGGAAGCCATCCTCTTATCAGTCATCATCTTGAGGGCGAAGAAATTGACATGCCCAAGGCGAGCATGCCATAACCAAGCTGGATCGTTAATGTTCGCCATCAAACACGCCGGCTTGCAAGTCTTTAACTCTATCATGTACAATCGGTTAGTTGAACGTGTCACCCTCATTAAGAGAGCACCGTTCCTATCAAACACCCTCAGGAACTCGTCAGCAATAACAACCTTACTCCCATCTTCAGTCATCTGACCAAGGCTAATAATGTTCGATTTCAAGCTCGGAATATAATATACCTCAGGTAGTAGCCTTTGATCGCCGTTGTTGCACTGAAAGAGGATAGAACCTTTCCTCAGGTAGTAGCCTTTGATCGCCGTTGTTGCACTGAAAGAGGATAGAACCTTTCCCCTTGATCTCTACGGCGGATCCATCACCAAACTTGACGGTTCCTGTAATGTTCTCGTCGAGCTCCTTGAACTTGCCTCGGTGGGGTTCCTGTAATGTTCTCGTCGAGCTCCTTGAACTTGCCTCGGTGGCCGGTCATGTGATTGCTAGCTCCATTGTCTAGGTACCAAGTGTCGTTGTCAACATGTGCCTCCCCCGCTGTAAGTAAATCCGGCACCACCTTCTCCTCATTAAGCAAAATGACATTTGGCGATTCCTCTAACATAGTCATCATCAAGGTAGGCTCCTCGTCGTACACTCGGGTGAGATTAGCCTCCTGTTCGTGATTGCGGCGTTGCTTGTGACACTCCGACTGAAAGTGCCCATATACTCCGCAATTGAAGCATTTGATGTTTGATTTGTCTCGACCGCCGCTTGTCCGCCTCGGCCTCTTTGGCCACGGCCACGCCCACGACCGGCCCCGCGACCTCGTCCTCGACCGCTGCCATCATTGGTTGTAGGTGTTGAGAGGAAGCCTCCGCCGTTCTTCTTGCCCCTTGCTTGCCACTCCGCATGCGTCAACAATAGGTGATCGTCGACGTTGTTTCGAAAAACACGTGCCCTCTCCTCGTGGGCTTTGAGACACCCGATCGCCTCCTCGAGTGTCATGTTGTCGATGTCCCCAAACTGTTCAATCGTGGAGACGATAGTAAGGAATCTCTCCGGTACCGCCCGAAGTAGCTTTCTGACGACGTAGTTCTCCTCCATCTCGCCGCCTAAAGCCCGAATCTTGTTAACGACTCCTGTCAACTTCGTCGAAAAATCGTCGACGTTATCATTCTCCTTCATCCGGAGAAGTTCGAACTCGGACTTCAAGGTCTGTACCTTCGCGTTCCTTACACGATCCGCTCCTAGATGCATTGTTTTCAACGTCTCCCATGCCTCTTTTGCCGTCTGCTTCTCTGCGATCACCATCAAAGTCTCTTCAGGAATCCCCTGGTAGATGGCCGCCAACGCCATCTGATCCTTCCTGTGTTCCACGGACACACCTGCCGCGGGCTCAATGGCATCCCACACGTCTTGAGCCTTCATGTAGACTTTCATCTTGATTGCCCACGAAGCATAGTTGTCCCTCGATAGCGTCGGGTATTGAAGAGTAAGAGAACCCACCTTGGTCGTCATCTTCTCCGAACTCGTCATCTCTTCAGATCTTGGTTGAATCTTAGGCAGACACGGCTCTGATACCACTTGTTGGCTTTGAGAATAGAATCGGCCCAAGTACACAACCTGTAAGCTTTTATACAAACCTGAAAACAGAGTTAGAAAAACCTGTAACCAAAGCTTCCTTGACTGATTTTTGGAGAGACCGAACACCAAACACAGGGGACCTTTCTGCAGGAATTTTCTTAGTCTCTGTTTTGTTGATGAACACAAAACCGGATGGAGCAGGGACTTCTATAAATTTTATTTTCGTTCTACTTAACTCATCAAAATTGTTTACATATATATAAGGACATAGGGATAAGATTACAACTCTAATCTTTATCCAATAACTAGAAAAACTATCCACTAACTAGTATTCTACTATAACTAGAACTCTATCTAATAACTTGGATTCAAACTAACAATTCGGACTGATTAACAAACTCACATATTTTACATCGATTTCAATTTTTCAGACTTTCTTCTCTCATCTCTCCAGCTTCATGTACCACCGGCAAGCTCTAAGCCTCCCTTCCCTTCCTCTTTTCTTTCTTTTCCCCCTCTCATCCGCGGGCGTCCATCGACCCATGAAATCAGGGTAACGCCCCCGGCACACTTCTTAAATATAAATAATTAAAGACAACAGACCAGACTCCTAAACATGTGAGCAGAGTAATGCGAAATTAGTCGATATGCAACACAAAACGACTACCAATGCGACCCAACGAAGCAGCAAAAACTTAAAAGACACTTTATTCATACTCCCACCATAGACATACACCGCACCAGAGATACCATCAACTTACACAGACACAAACAAGAGACACCATCAACTCACACAGACACAAACACGGGTGCTAGCATAAGCCTCAGACCAACGCTTCAGCAGAAGAACTTAACCGAAAACTCGGAAACACAACCAAGCAAGGAATCTACTCCTCTTTCTGACCAGAGATTTCAATGGCCTTCACCTCGGGCTTCTTGACTTCCTCCTTGGGCACGGTCACGGTGAGCACGCCGTTCTCCATCGTCGCCTTCACCTGATCCATCTTCGCGTTCTCCGGCAGCCTGAACCTCCTCAGGAACTTGCCGCTGCTCCTCTCGACCCTGTGCCACGTGTCATTCTTCTCCTCCTGCTCCTTGCTCCGCTCTCCGCTGATCTGAAGCACTCTTCCTTCCTCCACCTCAACCTTCACCTCTTCCTTCCTTATCCCCGGGAGATCGGCCTTGAAGACGTGGGCCTCGGGGGTCTCTCTCCAGTCGATGCGGGTGTTGGCGAAGGCGGAGGTCTCGCCGAGAGCGCTGCTGGCACCAGACCAATCAGCAAGGGAGCGAAAAGAGTCTAAAGGCCAACCCTGGAAAGGATCCCAGACGTCGAGGGGGAAGGGGTCGAAGACGTCGCTCCTCTGACCGAAGAATCGAGGAATCAGAGCCATTTCTCTTCAAAAGGACTGCCTTACAACTAAGCCGGCGACGAGCTCTTTGTTCGCAAATCACAGTCTGATCAATGGTTTTCGCGATGCGACGAAGAGGTGGAGGGGTGGGCGAATTTATACAGGTTCAGACGGAAGGGTCTCGAAATACTGCGGTATGCGCCAGATGTTTCGAGGGGCCCTGAAAGTGCTCGAGATGTCTCTGGACAAAACGCGATATAGTTCAAGTGAGTACTCTCTCGAACGATTAAAAAAAAAAAAACAAGAGTTGTGCCCGATGGGCTTATATCAGGTAACAGGCCATTTAATTCGGTTTTGTATGCATATCTTTCCTGTAAAGCTAAATCTTCCCTATTCGTTACATTTTCTATAATTTTATTTTTTTTAATTTTGATTATTTTATTTCGGAACATATTCTGACAACCATGAGGAGTCACTAAGGGTGTTAACGGAGCGGATACGGCTCGGATATGGCACTTACCATATCCATATCCGCTTACCCATCTCGGATACGGATACGGATACGGATATACGTCGGTAAGAAAAATTCATATCCATATCCGCCAAAATCGGATATGGTTACGGATATAGATGCGGATATATAAACGGATATGCATGCGGATACAAAAAAGGATATGAGAAAACTAGATAGTATTCAGAAAAATATAGTCATGTGATACAAAAAGAGTTCGTTAATATGTTCATTATGATTGAAAAGCTAAGATTAGACATCTTGATCATCAAAATTAACCACAAATCCATAATCTAAGAATCGAAACTATCGTAAGAGTATTACCAATATGTATTCGGATTTTTTCGGATACGGATACAGATATTTCACTACAAAACCATATCCGCAACCATATCCTATCGGTAATAGATTTGAGTAACCATATTTGTATCCTAACGGATACGGTTACGGATATTTCCTCGGATACGGATACGGTTTGGCACCCCTAGGAGTCACCCACAGGCAGCTCCTTTTTTACAATGGATTAAAGTTTAATCAGTGAGACAATTTTGTAAAGCAATATACGAGTTTTCTTAGTTACACTTTTGGTATATATTGGCCATTTTTTGGTAGAAACGCATGCATATATGTAAATCCATATACTCATCTATATTTATGAACTAAAAGTTAAATGTCAATAATATACTTTTGATTTATAAGTACTGACTTATGTTACATTGCTGAACGATGATTGAATTCATAATTACTTGACTTACGTATACGTGATTGGCTTACAAATTGTCTCTTGTTGACCCAAACATTTTATTATTTATAGGGAGATATGACTATAGGTAATGACCAAACCCTCCTCATAGAGATAATGATCTCAACAAACAATAAGTGAGATGATGAAATCTAGAGTTAATCGTGCATCAACCTCAAGAAGCCAAGTAGACAGCAAGACACTAATGAAAGTACTGCAAACAGTGACATCTCTAGTCACTAGACAGCAAGATCAAATTGATCTTAACCAGATGAATGGCCAGAATAGTGAACAATTAAAATTAAGAAGCGGCATGGCTGAATTCAAGAAGTTGTCTCCACCCAGTTTTGAGGGAACTACTGATCCGATGATTACTGAACATTAAATCACTAAAATGAAAAAAAGTCTTCATATACATGAAATGTCTTGAAGATGAAAGTCTACATGCTAAAAGACTATGCTTATGGATGGCGGTAAATACAAGTTAGGACGTTGAGAGAAAATGCATATAAGATATCATGGAATGAATTTAAAAAGATTTTTTATGAAAATTATATTTCCTCAACAGTCAGCGGGCAAAAATAACAAGAATTTCAAAAATTAGAGCAAGCCATTAAGACGGTAGTTGAATATGAGGAGGAGTTCATTTATCTGTCAAAATTTGCTGCTCACTAGGTAAGGAAGAGGATAGAGCTAGCTCGTCGTTTCGAAGAAAGGATTCGATCGGATATCAGCAAGACGGTCAGTGCATTTGAACTCCCTACATATGGATAAGTATTAAAGAAGGTATTGTTAATTAAGAAAAATGAGATAGATGTAAAATCAAAGAATGAGGCGAGCAACTCATATCCAAGGAAGTGGTTTTGGCTAGATAATCATAGTGGGAGGAGTAGAAACGGGAGAAATAAAAAACAAAATGTAAGGCAAAGAGAGGAGCATCTTTAGAACCAGAAAGTTGTGAGATATGATATCTGTCATATACTTGGCCAGGAAGTGAAGAAGTGTTGGAGAAATCGTGGAGTTTGCCTCAAATGCGGGCAGAAAGATCATAAGATTACAAATTGCCCAAGAATGCAAAAGGATCAGAATATCCTACAGACCGGTCAGCCCAGGAGTGGGAATAGATGTCCTCGAGCCAAGGCTCGAGTTTATTCCTTGACTAAGAAGGAAGGTGAAGCAGACAATGTGGTGATAGGTATGATAACTTTTGCATCTACTTGAGTGCTTTTTTATATTGGTGTATCGCATTCTTTCATTGCTTCACAGTTTGCTAAGAGAAACTAGTCACCTCGTGATACCTCACAACAAGAATTACTTATCAGTACACCTGGGGGTAGTATATTAGTATCAAATCAGGGTTGTAGGGGTAAAATTAATATTCTCGACAAGGAACTAATAACAAAATTAGTAACGCTAGAAATACATGATTTTGATGCCATATTAGTAATGAATTGGTTATTTTTAAATCATGCTTCTATTTTGTGTTGAGAAAAAAGTAGTATTTAAATTTCTGGGCCAACCATAATTTTGTTTTGGGGGTTATAAATCTTAAAGACCCTTAAAAATCATCTCAGCTTTTAAAACATATCGGGCGCTGAGAAGTAGATATATGGGTTATTTGGCTTTAGTTGAAGTTATTTATGAAGAAAAATCAAGCATAGAAAAGATACCAGTTGTCCGAAAATTACCAAAGGTATTTCCAGAAGAACTTCCAAGAATGCCTCGATATAGGGAAATTAAATTTTCACTTGACTTGGTACCTAGTACGAATCTAATTTCTAAGTCTCCCTATCGCATGGTATTAGCTGAATTAAGAGAGCTCAATGTGCAATTGCAAGAACTTTTAGGTAAAAGCTTCATTCAGTCTAGTGTGTCACCATGGGTGCACCAGTATTACTTGTAAAGAAGAAAGATGGTAATATGAGACTATGTATTGACTTCTGCGAATTGAATAGAATAACCATTCGGAATAAGTATCCATTATCAAGAATCGATGATCTATTTGATCAACTGCAAGAGCTCAAGTATTTTTTTTTAAAGGTTGATCTCTATTGTGGTTACTATGAGTTAAAGATCAAGCCAGAGGATATGACAAAAACTATATTTCAAACATGTTATGGTCATTATGAAATTCTAGTATTATCATTTATGCTCACAAATGTACTTGTAACAGAGAAAAAAATTTATGCGAAACTTAAGAAATATGAGTTTTTGTTGGAGAAAGTAACATTCTTAGACATATAATCTCTAGCGAAGGAATTCTATGAATCCTAAAAAGATAAAAGTTATAGTTAATTGGGACAAACCAACTAGTGTGATGCAGATCTATAGTTTTCTTGGTATGACTGGCTACTATAGAAAATTTGTGAAAATATTTTCCCGTATCGCCCCACCTCTGACTTGTCTTACTTAGAAGGAAGTTAAATTCATTTGATTAGATGAATAGGAGAAATGCTTTTAAGACCTAAAACATTAATTAGTGTCTGCTCCAATACTTGCACTACCCTCTAGAGATACACGCTTTGCTATCTACAGTAATGCCTCTAGAAGAGGACTGAGGGTGTGTTTTTATGCATAATGGGAAAGTTATAACATATGCTTCAAGGCAGTTAAAGCCTTATGAACAGAACTATCTCACTCATGATTTAGAATTAGCGGCAGTAGTTTTTGCTCTTAAAATTTAGAGACATTATTTATATGAAGTATATTGTGAAATATACACTGACCACAAGAATTTAAAAATATATATTCACTCAGAAAGAGTTGAATTCATGGCAAAGAAGATGGTTGAAGTTTCTAAAAGATTATGACATGACCATCAATTATCACCCTAGTAAGGCGAATGTTGTTGTTGATGCTTTGAGCTGTAAGAATTCATGCAATTTAGCATATTTAATTACTTTTCAAAGAAAAATGTTAGAGGACTTGGATCATACTGGAATAAAAATTATGGATCATACTGGAATAAAAATTAGAGTCCACCGAATTGGAGTTAAATTAACAAATATGGTGATATAACCTTCTTTGATAGATGAAGTTAAAGCAAACTAGCAGAAGGATCCTCAACTAATGAAGATAAATAAAGATGTGGATGAATGCACTCGAAGAGAATGTAAGATACATGAAAATGTGTCCTTAAGGTTTGGAACTAGAGTTTGTGTGCCTAATATACCAGAGATAAAGAAGAAGATTCTAAAAGAGGCACACCACCCTCTGTATACTATTCATCCTGGATTAATAAAAATGTATAAAGACCTGAAGGTAATCTATTGGTTGAATAACATGAAGAAGAAAATTGTCACCTATGTTGCAGAATGTTTTACTTGCCAACAAGTAGAGATTGAACACCAAAGGCTAGCTAGATTAGTCCAAAAATTGGAATATATCAATCTAGAAATGGGTAAAGATCAGCATGAATTTCATCACCAGCCTTCCAAAATCTTTAGAGAAAATAATGTGATAAGGTGATTATTGACCAGTTGACTAAGATAGCGCGCTTTTTACCTATCAATATGGAATTTTTATTAGAAAAGTTTACAAAAATATTCATTAATATGGTTTGCAAGCTGAAGAAGTCTCTTTATGGTTTGAAGCAATCGCCGAGATAGTGGTACAAGAGATTCGACAGCTTTATGATTGGTCATGGGTACACGAGGAGCCCATATGACCCATGTGTTTATATGCACAAGCTACAGGATAGTGAGCACATATATTTACTTTTATATGTTAACGATATACTTATTGCTTCCAGGAATTCTTCGGCTATTCGAAAGCTGAAAGAGGAGCTGTCATCCGAGTTTGAGATGAAAGATCTTGGAGAGGAAAAGAAGATATTGGGTATGGAGATCGAGAGAGATA